CAACATAACATTCTAAAACAAAAAAAAAACCAAAAAAAAAAAAAAGAGCAACCGACCAAAATTTCAAATTTCCTGTTTTCTATAAATCAGAGATTTAATGATTGCGCCATATGTTTCTGTAAAGAATCATTTTACCATCTAAACTTCCTCGATGCTCTAATTACATGAGATAAAAAAAATTAATCCCGGGACTCTGGTTAAGGTCTGTAACACCTGAAAGGTTTCCTGACCTGGTTGATTATTTTTGTTGTGAAACGGTTCTTACAGTGACACTCAGTGGTGGCTCCAATGTCTCCGAAGGGAAGACCGATTTCCACGACGATAACATAATGTGGGCGTGGCCAGAAAGCCCGGAACCCTTCAAAAAGTGGTCCAGAGGGAAAAGCACCTGGAAACTCCGACAATTTAGAGATTTAAACGATCGATTTCAGAGCCTCACAATCTTTGAAAATCACATGAATTTTTCCCCCAACGAATTGTTTTTGCGGGGTGCGACGGGTGCATACGCACCCTCCAAATCACCAAAGGTTCACATTTTCGGGTAGAAAATTCAAGACACACTCTCACACGTTCCAGAAATCCATCCACCAAAACTCCTTGACCAATCAGAGTAGTTTCCAACTAGGACTGCCTCTTTGTCGTAGGCCTACAAGAAAGGACTTTTAACGGTATTTAATAAGCTTTTTGTGGGATTTGAGTGTTTTTCTCCGCCGCTTAGGCCTACGTGTCAATGCTCTACTTACAAAAATCATCTTCTTTTTTCTATAGATTTATAGAGAAAAAAATATTCATGTATGTTTGAAAGAAGCCTTTGAAACCGTCCCCTGGAACACTTTCGAGAGATTTGAGCGACGCCTGACCACGCCCACTTTTTTTCCTTTAGGGACCTCGGACTCCCTGTCGGGCAAATCCTGGCGCCACCAATGTAAGAGTCAGTCAGCAAGTGCATAAAAAGTACAGTGAAGTACAGTGTTTATTATTAGTCAGTCTCTACTCCTCATCAATGGTCTCACCGACCACAATTACAAAAATTGATAATAAGCAAAATTTGCATGAAATAGAGAACAAATCTAAAATAAAAGTGTAAACACCGTAATAAAAAGTTTAATAACAATTTAGAAGGTATAAATTATATTATGATAACAATGTTTCACTTGTTTCTGTATTTCTGTTCACAGAGAGCGTTTAATCTCCGTTTTCACTATTTTTTTCAAGCTAGTTTGTGTACTCTGTACGTCATGTACTTGTACTGGTATTTATTTTTGTATTTTATATGGACAGTGTCTTAAATAAATATGAATCATGAATATATAGGCCTACTGTAAAATAATAGGCCTATCAACTTTACATCTGAAACCAGGGAGTTGATCTGAAACTGAGAGGAAGGATGATGATCAAATCGGACCATAATCCTTATAATAATCATCATGATAATATTAGTAATTATATAATAATCATTATTAAAAATGATATAAAGTGTGTGTCTGAAGCTCAACCCCTCAACGTCGTGACTATAATAACCTATTAATATTAGACTACAGTACAGCAAACGTTCGGATCTGGTAAATTAACACGACATGATGACAGAGGCTACATGTAAATATTTTGAGACACGAGTTCGAAGTAGAAGAAAAGTGTACATCATAACTAAAATCGTATAAAATGGTGTTGTTTGATCTTAATGACTGCATATATACAAGCTGTTATTGGTGAGTATCGCATGTGTTATTAAGTGGTCAATTCAAAGTTTAGGTCTAGGCCTGTCTAGGCCTAAGCCTAAAGGCACCAGGAGTGGTGTAATGATAGTGAGATCGAGTAGTGCCAAGGTGCGAGCCAGCGAGCCATGCGAGCCATACATTTACTTTTTTTCAGGTTATCCAGTTTTGCGAACACGTAGGCCTAGCCTATATTCTTTGGCCTAGTAGATGCAAATGAATAACACACC